TACAAGAAGAGAGATGAGGACGGAGAATATAAGGTAGGGTCTCATCGTAGTTACCATCTATTTCAATTTAACCTACCTCCCCCAGGTCGAGAAAGTCCTTTCACGGTCTGTTGAGCTTGACGTTGAGCCAGATACTGCCTACGATGTTGGAATCATTTCGACAAATGCCTTTGGATACAGCCCTCTGGCATTTTTGGATGTTCCGTCAACAAGTGTTGGTAAGTAATCTCTCATATCTAGGGCACATTTCAACGCTTATATGTCCTTTTTTAGGCAAATCGGGTTCAGGCGGAGGCTCATCAGCATTCTTCATCTTTTTGTTATTGGTGTGCTGCGGTTTAGTCGTACTTGGTAAGATTACCTTTCAAGAAAATCGTCGAATTGAAAATCTAAAAAAATCTAGGAATAATCTACCTCGGACGGCGACGTGATCTACCAGCACCGTTCGGAAAACTTGTGCGAAGACAACAACCACCTCGAGGAGGCCCAACAGTCGCCTTTGAAAATCCAGCTTACGGTAAGAGATTTTGGTCTTGATTGTGTGTATTGCACAACAAACTTATTTTTACAGTATCCGGTCATGAAGTGGAAATTCGAGGTCTTGGAGGTGGTGGTCATGCCAACGGCGACACCGAATGGCAAAGCCAAGATTTACAAGCCTCCGCTGCTCCTGAGGAATACCGTAATGGGATGCGATATGCAAAATTAGAAACTGCATAAAATGCATTTGTAATTTGTGACTATACGATTATTTGTTCACTTCCATGAAGACCTCTATTCTTATCCTTCCCATAGATGTATGATAAGACAAAATGACGCTCCGCATCAATGTGGCATTTTCTAAGATTGTACATTATTCATGAGGTATAGCTGACAACTCTAAAATCTGTTTTTTCTTCTCAATTTTCAACTCTTATGTTGACATCGTTGAAAGCTCAATATTCTATAACTTATGTGTTTGGAGTGTCGATCATTATATTTTAGTCTGTTAATTTTCTTGTTAGTTTCTCCACAACGATGGTAGCACGACGGGTTTTCTTGTGAGTGTGTTTCAAATGTGCGTTTTGAATCAATAATAAAAATCTTCTCATTATATTGCTTTCGGGGCTGTGAAGTCAATTGTTGCCACGCGGGACTTACAAGTGCGCACGATCAGTCGAG